ATATACATATGCGTGTATATACCTATATGCATGTACGTACGCATGCATGTACGTCTGTACGTCTGTATGTATGTATGTATGTATGTATGTATGTATGTATGTATGTGTGTGTGTATGTATGTGTATATGTATGTGTATATGTATATGTATATCCTTATGTATATCTATATCTAAATCTATCTATCTACCTATCTACCTATCTATCTATCTACCTATCTATCTATCTATCTATACTTACGTGTGTATATATATATATATAAATAAGGCTCAAAGAGGGTTTGTTTATCTAGAGATCTACTCTTCGCGCTCTGTCTTGGACCCCCGCGATCTCCCCGGAGCCACTTCTGGGCCAGGGTGTCTGCTCTTCAAACGGTGCATCTAGACCGCTCGGACATTTGCAGGGGCAGGCCGCCCTCTAAGTGGAAAACATTCGGACAAACATGCCTTTCAGCTTGTCACGCTTTCGAAGCCTCTGGTCGTCTTGTGGCCTGCAGCATTCATTCACTGACTAGCTTGTGCAGAATACTGAGCTGCGGATGGCTTTAGGCTGGCTGGGGCACCGTTGATTCTGCATTCTGCTGTCACTGCTGTCTTGCTGTCACTGCTGTCTCTCTGACACAATCTTTGCAGTTGCACTCCGCATCTCTGCAGCATCTGCACCCATGATTCAGCAGCCTGTTCAACGTGATGATCTCCTTCGAGATTGCTCTTTCTGCGGCTTCAAGTGCGTCGTCATCAGCACCACCACTCTTCAAGTAACCTAGCTACAGCAGCCCGAACCAGCGGCGCACAACGAAAAAGCCAAAGACTTCTACAATCTCATGACGAAATGATCACATGTTACACTGTTCTTCCTGGTGGCCGATGAACTCCTCATAGGAAATCTTGCCGTCATGATTCACATCGAGGTCGTTCATCACTTGGTTGGCTTCGCGATCGCTTTCCAGTACCTTCCCATCAACGCTGACGGACACCTAAACCATAAACTTGCATCCTGAACCTGGCAGTAGCCTCCCAAATATTGCAACGAAGCGTGCTTGGGCTTCAGGCTTCGCCTCTGTTCCCAATCGCACATGACTGCCTTTTTCTCAGCCCAGGCACCAGCAAAAGATCCTCCTTTCGGATGAAGCCTGTGTTTTCTGTGTCGAAGCGGCGGAAGGCATCCTTGAGGAGATCATCATGTAAAGAAATCCTTGATGCCATCATGGCAGCCAAGAACTCCGAGTAGTGGATCTCATCCTGCTCTACGTCGCCGATCGCATTGAACACCGTTTCGGCCTGGCCTTCGGGAATGTGGAAGTTGTCTTCTAAGACTTTCTTGAAGTCGGCTGCCGTGATGGTGCCGGTGCTTCCTTTGTCGAGCTCTAGGAAAGCCTCCCGTACTTGGCCCCTGTTTGGCAGGGGCGCACCGAGACAGCTGCACCAGTCACCCTAAACCCTAAACTTTAGGCCCTAAACTCATCCTAAACCCTCATCCCATCTCATTCCTAGACCCTTCATGTGGTCTCGGGCTGCTCTTTAGGGAGGCCTGCCTCTCCGATGCTGTGAGAGACCAGGCCATGAGCTTCATGCAGCTTCTCCGGAAGTTCTGAGACTTCGCGAAGTCACAGAGGGACATGACCATGGCCTCGTCAATGCAATCGGTGTTGGCATGCTCCAAATTCCTTACTTCCCCAATAAGCCAGGGAAATAAAAGGTTAGACTTTCAGATTACCACTAAACTAAAAGAGCCCAACAAGTCTAAAGGTTGGGTATTGGTGAACCAAGATTCTTGATCCAAGGATGCTCCAAGGCGGCCGGGGCGTTCATGCGCACATCTGGGTCCACCACAAGGAGCTTCTGCACAAAGTCCGAGGCCTGGGACGAAACCTTGGCCCACCTGTCCTTCTTCACGATGTAATGACCAGAGCGGATCATCTGAATCTGCTTCCTTTCGTCATTGCCAGCAAAAGGCATGTAGCCGACCAACAAGATGAAGACAATCACTCCCAAGCCTCGACGGTCGGAGTTTTCAGGAGAGACAGAGCGCAAACCGCTGCAAGGAGTCTTGCAGCCGAAACTTCAAACCCGGGAGCCCCAAAGTAGAAGGGAGCAACATAATGTATACTATAGTATAATATCATGTATACTATAGTATAATATAATATACTATAATATAATATAATATAATATAATATAATATAATATAATATAATATGATATAATATGATATAATATGATATAATACAGTACAATGTAATGCAATATAAGAGATGTATATATAT